TTCCTGTGTGGTAACAGGCAAAGATTGCGTCTATCTATCTGCATGTGTATCTTCTTCTTAAAGCCTATGTAAATATGCTTGAATGATTATGGAGATGTGTATTTTGATATCGAAAATGTAGTCAGCGAAATGAAAACACACTTCGCACATTAAAAGAACATAATTAATATGATGAAACATATAACATGTCAAAGAAATAACATGATAAAACATAAATAGCATAATAAAAACAAATAACGTAATAATAATAACGTAATATACAGTAAAATGCAAACAACATAATCAAGACCTGAACAACATATAAAACATAACACACTGAACAAAATAACATAAAATATAAACACACAAAGAGAACAATCACGATAAAGACACACACACACAAAATCATGATGAAAAACAAAAACAAAAAACTGCTTAAACCAAACACCAATGAAACCAAACAACAACAACAACAAAAAACACACAAATAAAAACATTTACCGTCATGATCCCTCATCATTCTACCCGAGCATCCAGACGGAACGCTGTCATGCACTCTGCCTGACAGCGCCATTACGCACCGGTCATGAACAACCTCCAACGGGATGAACAGGAAGCATCCATGCCGCCTTATAGTGCATGACGCGGCAGGCACTTCGTAGCAGTACAGTATGGTGCAGTGAAAATAGCTATGGTGCAGTGAGTGAAGATATAGTGTAATGAATGGAAGTATGGTGTAATGAAGAAAAGTATAGTGTAATGAATATAAACTTTATAAATATAAATATTAGTGAATATAAACATTACTTTATGGCGTAGGGAATAGATATGGGGCATACTATAGTGAAAAAATGAGGTGGAATGAATGAAGGTAATAATAAAATATAACGAGGTACGGGGTAGTAGATATGGTGCAGTGAATGAAGGTATAGTGCAGTGTAAGTGGGAGGAGTGTGTTCAGGCCGAGAAAATTATGCTTTACATTTAGAATTAGAAGCATTTGAATGGCGTTCTGTTTATGGTGGGTGGGTGGGTGGGTGGGGGGTGTGATATTTCAGAAATTTGTTCGGGCTCACTTTCTCTCTCGGTCTTTGTGTCAGTCTCTGGATCCCCCCCTCTCTCTCTTAGTGTCTGTCTGTCTGTCTGTCTGTCTGTCTGTCTCTCTCTCTCTCTCTTTCTTTGTGTTTGTCTTTGCCTCTCTCTCGCATTCTTTCTTTATATCTGTCTCTGGCTCTCTCTTTCTTTCTCTTTTTATATCTGCCGCTGGCTCTCTCTCTCTCTCTCTCTCTCTCTCTCTCTCTCTCTTTGTGTCTGCCTGCCTACCTGTCCGTCTGTCTGTCTCTCTCTCTCTCTCCTTCTCTTTCTCTCTTACTCATGAAGCTTCTTTCACTCCCTATATGAAACTACTTTTATATAGCAATATGATAAGAACGATTATGTAATGATATCCACTTTCTAAATTCGTGCTAACGAATTTCCTTACTTTCTCTTTCATTAACAACAGCATATACCTCTTCTTGGATAAACGAATGAATAAATAGATAAACAGATCAATCAATGAATCCATAAACAAATAAACAAATAAATATATAAATAAATACGTATAAACAAATAAGGAAATACACAAATATATTGATAATTAGAGAAATTAAATAACAAAAAATTAACAAACATACAAAATATATAGTTGAATAAATGAATGAATAAATAAATAGACAATTAAACAAACAAAAAAACAATACTGGCATCCACTTTCTCATCAAAGGACAACAATCATTCTCTTTCCCAAGACGAATGACAAAAAACACTTACATGTCATGCATATTTTAAAAGCTTATTCGAAATTTCAAATATTTGATATCATACAAACCGGTTCCAAGGTAGAATAACAGGAGACGGGGATACGAACGTAAATATTTAGCATTTTATTTTTTGTTCTTTATTTATTATCGCTTTTTTACTACTTTCTATTGTTTTTCTCGTTGATTATTTTCTTTTTTTTTGTGGATTTCGTTAAGATGACTATTATTATTATTATTTTTTGGTTGGATTTCGTTGACTATTATTATTTTGATTATCCAATGGTTATAATACTGACAATAATGACAGTTTGATGATCACGATAGCAATGATAACATCTCACTGGAATTCAGTCACTGCCACTTTCTCCGCCTGTCTCTCTCTCAACACAAGAGGCAGTGGCTGGGTGCTGATCTCTGCTTGCTCTTGCAACCGAGCTGTTTCGTTTATCAACACGGGCGTCGGGATCTCGCGGGAGGGGGGGGTGCGGAGTGACAGGGGGATAAGGGAGAGGGAGGGGGGGGGGAAGAGGGTGGGAGAGGGAAAGGGGGGAGGGAGGGGTGGGAGGGGAGAGGAGTGGGAGAGGGAGATTTGAAGGGGGAGGGAGAGGGGGTGACAGGGAGGGGATCGGGTGACATGGAGGAGGAAGAGGGAGGGGGAAAGGGGTGGAGGGGGTGGGGAGAGGAGCGGGAGAGGGTAGATTTGAGGGGGGAGGGAGAGAGGGAAGGAGAGGGGTGACAGGGGGATAAGGGAGAGGGAGGGGAAAGGTGGGTGGGGGGTGGGAGAGGAGTGGGAAAGGGTAGATTTGAGGGGGGAGGGAGAGAGGGAAGGAGAGGGGGTGACAGGGGAGAAGGGAGGAAGGGGTGGAGAGGGTTGATTTGAGGGGAGGGAGAGAGGGAAGGAGAGGGGGTGACAGGGGAGAAGGGAGAGGGAGGGGGGTGGGAGAGGGTAGATTTGAGGGGGAGGGAGAGAGGGAAGGAGAGGGGGTGACAGGGGGAGAGGGAGAGGGAGGGGGGTGGGAGAGGGTAGATTTGAGGGGGGAGGGGAGAGAGGGAAGGAGAGGGGTGACAGGGGGAGAAGGGAAGAGGAGGGGGAAAGGGGTGGGAGGGGGGTGGAGAGGAGTGGGAGAGGGTAGATTTGAGGGGGGAGGGAGAGAGGGAAGGAGAGGGGGTGACAGGGAGGGGATAGGGTAACATGGAGGTGAAGAGGAGGGAGAGGAGGGGTAGAGGTAAGGGGGAGGGATAGAGAGAGGGAGGGAATAGGGGGTTACAAGGAGGAGGGAAAGGAGGGAGAAGGAGGGGTATTGGAGTGACAGAGGGTAGAGTTTAGAGGAGTAAGGGGGAGGGAGAGAGGGAGGGGATAGGGGGAATAGATAGGGGGCTCGTATTTCTTCACCACTCTCCCCCTCCTCTTTGTGACACCTTCGCCATCCCCGTACTTCCTCATTCCCCCTTCTACCCTTTTCCCCGTTCCTATCTCCAACACCCTTTCCCATCCTTCCTTCCCACATCCTCATCCTTCCCCGACCCTCCTTCCATCCCCATCCTTCCCCCTAGAACCTCCTTCCATCCCCATGCCTTCCCCTACCCATCGCGTACCCTTCCCCCAACCTCCTTCGCATTCCCCCATCCTCACCCACTTGTTACCCCATCGTGGCCAATCACCTATGTCTCCCTTCCCCTAGATAGATCTCCCCATCGAGATTGACCCATCACCTGCCATTCCCGTCCCCCATCCTACACCTTCGGACACCCCGAGAGATGCCTAGCGACGAGTATGACGACATCGAGCACGCGTACCTTCTCAGAAGATTGGACGTGAGATCTTGAGATCCTCCCATAGAAGTACTGAGCCGAGATGAGACGCGAGAGTGAAGAGAGTGAGAGATGTGAGAGAGTGAGGAGTGACGACTGAGAGAGTGAGAGAGGAGACTGAGAGAGTGAGAGAGTGAGAGTGAGAGTGAGAGAGTGAACGAGTGAGAGTCTCGATACGTCCATGCCGCTTGTAGTGTGTGGTAGTGTGCTGTGAGGTGTTGTGTGTGTGTGTAGTGTGTGTCTAGGTGATCGTTTCCTCGTTACGCCCCCTTTGTCGCTTCGCTTGCGTCGCAATCTCTCTCGCCTCGCCCGCCGCCTGCCTCGTCTTGCTAAGATCAGTGTGTATGTGTGTGTAGTTGAGGTGCAATAGTGTTGTCTGTGTTCTTCGTCGTCAGTGTGAAGTCCTAGGTGTGTAGTGTGTGTAGTGTGTGTGGGGTGATGTAATTAGCGAAGCGCCTCCCAGGATCAATGCTGCGTGCGATGTGTCTCAGATTAGTGAGACGCTGCTGTGATGTAGTGTGTTAAAGAAACACCAGAAGGGAAGAAGCCGCGCAGTGTGTGTGTTGTGTCAGTGGTGGTCATAGGTAGCGGTGTGTGTGTGATGTGTGTGGTGTGTGTTGTGTGTGGTGTGTGTGTGTGTGTGTGTGTGTAGCTGTGCAATCCTCTTAAGAGAAAAAAAAATCGCCTTCCCAAAATAGACCCCAACCACGTGCGTCACTGTATCCATTATGAACTGATTGAACTCCTCAGGCTCTGTTCCAGAAGTCTCATACTAATTATCGGAATCGCAGGTCGGGGCCGTAATTTCAAAACGAGCTCGAGGGTAATATTAGCCTTAATTGCTCACCCAGTGATGCCTCTATCAATCAAAATCCCTGTCAAGTCATCAACCAACCACCCAATATAATATATACACAATTATTGACGATGGCATGAATGCTTTGACATTTACATAGAAAAAAAAATCTTAAGGAAATATCACACCCTCTCTGAGCGTCATATTGAAACCCTCCCCATTAGAAAGGGTATAATTTTTTCATGAATGCCCTAAGTGAAGACAGTGTAACCTAGTTGACCTTTGTACCCGTATGGCATTCTGCACTTTGAAGAACCGACTTAAGCAAGCTATAAGTGACAAGGCATGAACTCAAAATTCCACCGCACACAGAGGAAGATTCATAGCAGTAAAGCCTTTCATCTAATGGGGGACTGGAGACGGGAAGGCAATGAGGGGGAGGGGGGGCAGGGGGAGGGGATGTCGGCGACTTCACTGCCATGTATCCTTTCAGATCACACGTGGAGACGGCGACACTGAGAATAGGATTTTTAAAACGTAGCAGAACTCCATCATCACACTGGTTTTGTCTCCTATACATTATTCAAATGTAACAAGAAAAATGTCCTATATCTACTCAGTTGTTGTTTTTTTTTTATAATAACAGTAATCCATCCAACAAACCCACAGAACCTGCAAAGCTTGGTCGGGGAAACAAGATTCAAGGATAAATGTACAAATCTGCGTAATACACAGCACAAAAAATCAGACGAAAAAATATAATAAACAGGATGTCATCAGGACATAAACGTACTTATGAAATCTAAACAAGGTTGTCAAATCTGTAAATTCCTTTTTGGAAAATTAACCGTTAATTTGTTACTATTCTGAAATTTCAAAGTGTGAACAGGACATTGGAAACAATAATGAATACATTTTTTTCCAAAAGCAAGCAAATGCACAAAACCATGAAGATCAGCTAATTAATCAAAACCTCAATGATCAATCTTGCTCGAACCCAACCTTGTTTAGCCTCTGTCTGAAATCCGATCCGCTGTAAACATTCTCGCACTTCAAACTTATTACAAATCTAGTACTGTATAAAAGAAACATAGCAGGTGACCGAGTGACCGAAATATACACACTTGCTAGTGTCATCTGTCTCACATCAGCATTAACTGGCATACTACCTGCACTGCAACTATATAACAATTAATTAAATTCCATGTACAAGGAACAACTGGTTCAACCTTTATTTGCTTATAAAAACAATATTTATAAGTGTACACAGATCAGTCCATCCTCCTTACAAATAAGAAGGGTACTTTGGTGATGATTCATTTTTTCTTTCTTTTTTTCCAGAATTCATCAAAGACATCGCTATTCCCACCGTGATTATCCAGTTGTCAGAGTTTGTCGTGCTTGGGTGCAACCATTTTTTTGTTTTATTTTCTCTAGTCTATTCTCTTACATCCTACAAATATATATTCATCTCCACTGGATTCTATTGTTACCTCTTCAGAACAGAGGTCTTTGATTGGAACAACGCTTCGAACACTCCATTCCACCGTACCCAATCGCGGGGTCACGTGACACACTTCATAGCAACAGAACACCACCTTTGCCAAGCTTTCTCTCCCCCAAGACTTTTCAGAGTCCCTTAACAAGCTTTATTCCTTTTTTTTTAAATTATTAGCCTCAATGTCCGTCTCCTTATTCGAAAAGCCAACCACCATCTTTATATTTTTATTCCTTTTTGTCGAGAACCACACACAACCATGGTACATCATAGGCTCACACAGGCTCTGCTCTCGGATGGCTGTCAGTCCGCTCTGTGGATCTCTAGCCTTTGGTTATGGAAGAAAAAAAATATCTGCGTGAAGAAAATATTCCCTAGGGTAGCTTTTTTCCCCTTTGGCTGTATACAAAAGAATATTTTTTGCCACTTTTGCACCATTCGTTCTACCTTTACTGACTGTTGTTCAAACTGCGTACAATAAATAAATAAATATAGAGGGAACGTACACAAAAAACGAAATCACAGTTGACTGATAAAAGCATATGGTGCATGATTTTAGTTTCCAAAGAAAGTAAACTGTTAGAAAATAAATGACTAGTAAGGCGCCATCCTCGTTATAATTTTACTTTGAATCAACCACTTAATAACAATTTGAATGATCCAACAAATTAACATTTTAAACCATCTTAAAAAAACGAAAAAATGCTTAAGCATATTACAAAAATCAGATTGAAAACAATGACGCGGGTGTAACCTTTTCCGAACGCGAAGAGCGAAAGAACGAACGTCAAATTCCTTACGTTACAATTGGGATGACTAACGAACGCCATTACAACCCGGCTTCGAACGCAAGCCTGAAGTTCCCAGTCACTACTCTACCTTATAAATTTGATAGTGGCATCTTCTACCAAATAAATATATGCACCTATGTGAAAAAGTCCAAGTTGAGCAAATTGCCACAAAATATATTCTCTATTTTTCATCCTCATTAAGGCTGGCTTGTCCACATCCTCTCCATTACCACTTGTAAAATGCAACATTCCTAGTGACATACATGTATGTGCTGTGCTTGGCTGTAATACACCATCGTATTTACTTTGCTATTTTTATAGAGATTTTTATATATTTTTTTGAGATTTTTTTTGTTTTTTTTAATATTTTATTTTTATTATTATTATTTTTTTGTAATATCATCTTATAATAAGTATGAGGCATTTATGTTTTGCGAGACTTTGATTGTGGCACACAGGTCATGGCGGTGCGGTGGTTCTAGAGCCGCGGGATCACCTCCTGTGGTGTTGGTGGGCCCGCCTGTTGGCCTCTTTGCTCCGCGTCGTTCCACAGCAATAGCAGTCAGAGGGACTGTCTCGGGGAGGGGCGGGCTGTCAGTAAACCCAGGACACGGGTACCCACTGCGGGGTCATATTCATAGTTTCGATCGATTTTTCCAGCTGTCGGATTGTTTCTTCGATGTCATTGTTCACTATGGTCAGGTCAAAGAAATGGCCGTACGCCTGCTTGAGCAAGTCCGACTCCTTTGCCAGCCGTTCTAAGCTTCCGTCATACTGCAAAAGAGGAAGGAGAAGACGAGCGTTACACACAAACTAACCCAATTGAAACAAAATCACGATAAAGATACTAACTATACCCACGAATACTCAAAATGAGGACAGACGCAACCACACACACACCGAACCCGCCTCAAATCCACGTACATCTGTCATGTTCTGTAGCGATGGAGCGGCGATGAAGACAACGTAGGGAGCGAAT